AGGCAAAACGACCAGGAGACAGCTGCCGTTAAAACGATGGCACGTTACTGACCCTTCTCGAGAGGACCGAGCACAGCACAGCACGCACGGCCGCCCGGGGAAGCGCGCGAGTCGGTCAGGGGACGGGGCGAGGGGAGAACGTGGCCGGAGCCTTCGCTGTGCTTCCTGCAGGCGGGGCGCGAGGCGGCGGGCCGAGCGGGCTCGGGACTGGCCTCGGACTGGCTGAGGTTTGCACAGCCTCCGTGGGTGCCGAGGCCTGGGCTGCTTCTGGTTGTCCGGTGCCTGGGCCCGGGGCCATGAGGACAGGGAGACAGCCTTGTCCAGAGCCCAGTAAAGGAGGTGGTGGAGGCGGGGCCTCTGAGCGGGCTGGTCTGCCTCGGCTCGACGCGCTTGCTGTCTCTAGGAGCTGGAGCCCTGGCAGGGGCAAGTCCCTCCAGGACCCACGAGGCCCCCCAAAGCATCTGAATACGGACGACGGAAAGCATGACTAATACAGTTAGACGTGCCTCTCTGCAAGACAGGCTCTTCTGAGCCTGGAAGACATTGAAATAACTTAGTTTATTATAGTTTATAACTTAGCTTATGTCTTTTTTATCAATTGTATGTTTAGGCCATCACGAGTATTTTTGAAAAATTATTCTCTCGGGCAGAGAAAGCAGAAGCAGAAGAGAGATTGGTTATTTCTACTTTTTTCTCTATCATCGGTTAAAGTATTTCAAACCCGCAGCCCAAACTGTGAACATAGGATAATGTTCCTTGTTCACCTTTGATTAGAGTCGTTTTCAATTAGCAATTGATGGAAAATAACCTCATTCTGAGACTTAGCCTCCTTCGCGTTAGTCTTACACCGTTATCGATTGTTCCGTTTTGTTAGTTGGGTTTTGTCCTTGGTCAAACCCCAAAGCCTGTGTAACCAGCACGATCTGTGTAACTGAACCCTGGCAAACTATCGATACTGTTATTGATTGCTGTGACCAGAACCTCGTAGTCAGAAGGTTGCTGTTTCCCTGAAGAGATACATGTTTAAACAAATTCAGAATAGAAAAATCTGGCTTTTTACAATGCTTTCCTTTTAAATAGCTCTCTATGTGATCTGTGTAATTTCTAGTGTTTGTGCCACCAACACCACGAGCATTAACTGTCCCAGCAACTGATACGAATACCAGCAGGTATGCGGTAGTGAAAACCAAGGTCAATGTCGGCTTTTCTATTCTTTCAGAAATAGTAAACTGTGGTTAAAATTAGTACTACACAGACTTAAAGATTCCTGGTCTTTGTTAACCTTGTATATTATCAGAAAGATGGTTTTTGCAAGTCCTTTGGGAACGAGAGCCTGTCCCTGAATTGTCTAAAGCTTCATAACCTCTCAGGGACTCCAGAGGTTCATATAAAACCCATGCTTCAGACTCCGAAACGAAACCCTCCAATTGCTCCGTTGTGTCTTAGGGTGATGTTATTTTCAGTTACTTCGCTATAGCAGAAAAAAATAAAGCTTCACAAATTCTTTTTTTTTTTTTTAATTTCTACAAACTCCTTCATGCATTTACTCGAAGAAACTGTAGAAATTCAAAAAAAATCGAGCCGGCCTGCGTGAAGCACAGGTGCTCACACCGTCCTCTTGCGTCTCCTTAGCAAGGCACACCCTTCCGTGACGCACGCCGACCGCGGTGTGTCTGCCGAGGACACGCTCCGCTCAGAGGTCACGGCACCGCAGACGCTCCGCACAGAGGTCACGGCACCGCAGACGCTCCGCGGGAGCTGAGAGACGGGACAGCAGGCTCTGTTCATCGGAGACTGCCCTGAACCTCACTCCATAATCATTAGGGAAGACCGGCCAAAAAATCCATCACTCTCCCCCAGGCAAAGTTTTCTTGGCGGTTACACGTGAAAATGAAGGTTGAGGCTACGGGAGCACTCCTTCTGGAACCTTCTCGGCACCGGTACCCAGTTTTTAGCCTTTGTTTCCGGATGGTCCATGCGTTTGCGTACTGCGTTCCGCGAAGCTCCTCAGATGGCTCAGCTGTTCCCTTGGGGGTTACTTGATGGAGAGGCGTGGTGTGGAGCAAGGCCAGCCGAGTTCTTCACTACACGACAGCTGCCACCAGAGGTGACTTTAAACTCTGAAACCAAATCTATTAAAAACCCTGCGATCATCACAGCAGAGTCTTCACATATCAGCAAACAAATTTATACGATGAATTAAAGATAACTCTGTAAAAAAAAAAAAAAAACTAGAAAAAAATTTTGTGGCCAAATCTATGAATATTAACCAAGTTTATGTAAATATGCCAATCCCATTTTAGAAGGTTATTACTTCCTTAAATATATAAGAGGAAAATTGTACACGTTAACTTAAGCTTAGATCACGAATTTAAAATAGTACATTTATATTTAGCATCTGAATATATCCCTTCTAAAACCACAAAGATTATGTCAAAGAAACACAGAATTTTCAATCTAAACCTCACAATGTACACAACCCCTTTATTTCACAATTGAAAAAAAAAAAAGAAGTGAAAAACCAGATTCTTGTACTAAGGTAGGTATTTCTTTCAAGATCTTTCATTTCAAGCCATACCGGAGATACCTCTGACCATAGGAACAGATTCTCATATTTACACTGACAGCTTTCTGTACCAGACTAATTCCCTCACCGCGAGATAAAGCCTGACACGCCTGGTGTCGACTCCGGAAAAGGAGTCACATTGTGACACACTGCACCAGCACGCAACGCAGGGCTGGAAAGCCTCGTGTTTCTTTGGTGTGAAAAGCTAGAAAGAAAGAAAAGGAATGTATATACCTTGGTCCCCAAATATTCGGGAACATTCCAATACACGGAACTGTGTCTGCGGGGACACCTTTCCCCTACGCGGTGTGCCCAAGACGGAGCCGAGCCCCTGCGGGCATCTGAGAGACCGTGCTGTTTCCACCAGCAACATTTCTTACAAATTTGGAGACACTCGAACTTTAGAGTGTAGCTCTTATCATTGTGAATTTCATCCTTGTTCCTTCTGATAACCTCTAAAAAATCGTTAATCTGTAATTGTTGATTTTTTTTCTTTAAATTCCCGGGGTTGCAAATCATTTTCTTTCATCTGATCCGTTGTCACCGCTCCCCTATTCTTAAGCCAACTGAGAGGAAAACTTCACTGATGACCTAACGCAAAGTACGTGCTGGCAAATGACTTTTAGCTGAAAAAAACGGCTTTAGTTTGCGTTTTTCAAAACCAGTTTAAAAAAGCAATGAGATATTTTAATTCGAGTTGTAGTGAAATTCTATGTGCTATAATAACAGCATAGGTAAAATGACTTCTGCCAAGGTGCAGGTGAGATGAGGCACGTCAAACTTTCGCTCACGCCCGTCAGATACCAGGTCCGGTCGCCCCCCTCTGGGAACACACGGTCCTCGTCCTCAGGGCCGCGACGTGGCGGCCCCGCTTCCAGCCCCTCGACTACCCCTGACCGCACAGGGCTGTCCGCGTCGGTGGGGTCGACAGGACAGGGGGAAAGGGGCTTCCCCAGGTGGGCGGGGAGGGAGGTGTGCAGGTGCAGCAAAGACATGAGGGAATCATCGGGGACTGGGGTGGCGAGGATGGACGGTGACAGGAGATGGCACCAAATTTTGCGGGCCCCGTCTTTATGCCGTGTGAGAGTCTGACGGACGCTTGGGTGCTGACGAGTCTTTGGCAACCCACCCCCCGAGTTCGGGCGCTTGGTGCACGTCCTTCCCCTCCTGTTAGGGCTCGGGTTGGAAAACAGCACAAGCGCTGCCTCTGCCACTTGTCGCGCACCCCTTCGTCGCGCATCCCTTCGTCGCGCACCCCTTCATCGCGCACCCCTTCGTCGCGCACCCCTTCGTCGCGCACCCCTTCGTCACGCACCCCTACGGTTCGATACGCTTGGCGCCTGACGCTGTGGCTCTGTGTGTGTGAACTTGCCCTTCAGAGTGAAGAGACCCACGACTAATTCCCAGGAAGCTCTATGGGTGGAGCTTTTGAAGACTATAAAGCAACTGACAAATAGAGAAAAATATCATTCGGGAGAAAAAACACGTCTCTTGCGAAAGCTATGAGTGTTCTTCTCATCAAAGTCACGGTTCCTCTTTTAGGCCAAAGAGACTGTGTCAGGATTGACGGACCATCTCGAATGAAGAACAGCCATCATGATCCAAAGATGTCCCAGCCCCTCTCCAAAATACTCCAGATGACACACAGGGTTGTTTTTGGAATTTATAGGACCAATTGAATAGAAGAAAGTAGAGAGAGAGAGAGAGACAGAGAGACAGAGAGAGAGAGAGAGAGAGAGACAGAGAGAGAGTGTGTGTGTGAGATTTTGGAATTAAACTAGACTCATCTTAACGTACAAAAGCTTGACTTCAAGTCAACACAATCTCCAGATGACGTGGCTCTTTCAGTACCTTCTACTTTCACTATGACCAGAGCTCTGACTTCACAGAAAATCGCCCGATGAAAGGTCACCAGGACAGGGGTCAGTGTCAGGTGCCGGCCCACACGCCGCGGGACCAAGAGAAACGTGGCGGACTCGGTGGAAACCGGGCAGCGGGCAAAGTGCACCGCCGTCCGCGGGTCTAGAGGTGTCGAATGCCTCTGTCCCTCTAAAGAACGTCGGTGTCACTTAGCGGGGAGCAGTGAGCGTCGTCCGTAGCAAGTGTTTGCCATTGAACTCGTTGACATCGCGAGACGAGGAGGGTAGGGGCCCTGTCAGGACGCACTGAACGCAGCCTCTCGCATGTTATTCATTAGGGTCACGAGTCCTGTCGCACACGGTGTGTCGATGCCGACACTCGTGAATCGGCTTCCGGCCTTCGTGAAGTCTTAACGGTTAGTTCCCACTCTCCCTGTACCACGCGACTGAGTTACGAACGGGTTTAAACGAGAGTGTTCCGGAAACGCTCGAGGATCCCGGGGTCGAACGAGGACGGGTCAGCCCCGCCCCGCCCCGCCCCGCACGCCGCTCTCACCGACTCTGCTTGGCCCTAGGAGCACGGGATCCCCACGGACTCCGGCTACGCGGTGGCCCCGCACCACTCCGGCGTCTACCCCGTGCACGGCCCGCTCTACGGGGCCTGGAAGAAGGTGTGGGACGTCGGCATCACCAGCACCGAGGAGTACCCGCACCTGAAGCCCGCCAGACACCGGAGGGGCTTCATCCACAAGAACATCATGGTGAGCTCACCCCGGGGGGCACGGGGGCGGAGGGAAAGCGCGTTCGTCGCCGTGTCTAAGCAGGGGGGGTTTCATTAAGGCCACTTCCTTTCCACCTTCGAATGT